GTGTCTCAGAAAAAAAATAAATTTCACGCTGAATGCCTTTCCAAGCTTCTGCCGCTTATTTCATGGGGAAAAAAAAAATTAAACCCAACAATATTTAGTGCTCCAGTTTCCCTCTAAACCAAAATCAGAACTTCATGTATTATCCTAAGGAACAAAAACAAAAAACAAAGTAACAAAAACTAACAAAACAAAAACAAAACCCTCCTTCTCAGACTTTCTGCTTTCAATAATAATAATCTGTGGTACTAATAGTGCTATTGCATTTTGAGCTCACATCCCAGGTATAGTTAGCTAATGATCCCTCGCGTCTGTCGGATGATATCTGCCCCCTCATCCCTCCCACTGGAGCTTTTCTCTGTGATATTTTGGCCCTGCAGGATCCTAAAGCCCCTTCATCTCTCGTTTTATTGCAGCCAGTACATGGACTCGATCTGTTCGTTTTAACGAAGCTGGAATTACGGTTGGAAGTAGCACTAGGACTGCCTCTGAATCACGTCCTCATGTCATGCAACTTAACTTTGGGAGGGGGAGGGGGGGGTTAAGGGGTCTTCCACAGCGCGATACCGACCTGGATTTAAACTAAGCTCTTTAACGGTTGCTGTTATTAGTAGCCTTAATTGCAGGACGCATGGAGAAAAGCTGTTACCATTGTAAGCTTTTTTAAAATCCTTTTTTCTTTTTTTTTTTGGGGGGGGGGGCTTTGGTTTGTCGAAGGGGTGGGGTGGGGAGGAGGTTAAATCTGTACATGCAGAGTAGGGAAAGACGAAAGATGAAGGAGAGCCTTAATAAAATACACCGTGTAGTTAAAATTCTGTGGGATACAGAGGCGGTTTATATAATATAATATAGCTCATAGGAAGCCCGTGACAGGTGCATGTGTGGGTGTGTATGTGTTCGTGAGTATGACTGTGTGCGTGAGAAAGACAAAGACAGAGGGGAAGAGAGAGGAGAGAGAAAGGGAAAAACAAGAACAAGAAAGAGAGAGAGAGAGAGAGAGAGAGAGAGAGAGAGAGAGAGAGAGAGAGAGAGAGAGAGAGAGAGAGAGAGAGAGCGAAAGAGAGGAAAAGAAAAGAGAGAGAGACAGAGCGAAAGAGACAGAGCGAAAGAGACAGAGCGAAAGAGAGAGAGAGAAAGAGAGAGAGAGAGAGAGAGAGAGAGAGAGAGAGAGAGAGAGCAAGCGAGAGAAAGAGAGAGAGAGAAAAAAAGAGAGAGAGACTTGAGAGAGGGAGAGAGAGATGAATATCATGTTTGGTACGATGATCTAAACTAAGCGATATCAAGGGGCCGGGTAAGCTGTCAGATTCCAAGACAAAGTTTCACGAAGAAGCAACGAGGCGTCACCTGATTGTCGCGGGATTTCCGGAGAACTTACACGTTGATTGTCTCCAAAATAGAATGTTTGGATTGAAATTCAAATCAGACAGCAGGACAGATACTTATGGCAGTCAAACAGCGCAAACAGCTTCTATAATTCCGTGGTGCTTCCAGGAATCGAGGACTTTCTGTATCAGGAACACTTCCAAGAAAGATAGCCTCTTCCAGGAATCGAGGACTTTCTGTATCAGGAACACTTCCAAGAAAGATAGCCTATGTCAAATTCTTATGAACGAAAGATGAATAGAGGAACATTTTGAGCCACCTCTTGGTCTTTCTATCTTACCTTACAAAAAAGGACCGCAGACATAAAAACACTACTGAGTTTGAACAAGAAACCGCACAATCGTTGAAAAAACGAGAGATCTCAGCTAGGTGATCTTACAAATGGTTTTATACTTAAGCAATCGTTCATGGCCGTAAAACAGTTAAATCAACATGCATTTACCAGTGAGTTACCAACCTTCCTTCGGAATAGTGCATTGTTTCTTTCTTTTTTTTTGGTTATACAACATCAACCACAAACACGAAGTCTGTCTAACATATGTATGTGCTATAGAGATTCCACAACTATTTCGGTGGTCTTCTTCCTCTGCCACTCCTTCCCGTAGGCGTTAGAGCGTATCGGATCACACTTCCAGCAGTTAACTACGAAATAAGATTGTGCAGCTTTTAATACTACATGTATTATGAAACAATGCACACCCCCTCCCCTCGCCTTCCACGCTATTCTATCACCTACATCCCCTTCCAAATTCAACATCATATTTGAGGACACGAGCGTACCAAAATATGCTGCATGAGATTTGAAGTCTGTGGACATGTGGCATTTCATTCACAGCATTCAGCCACATTTTTAACCCTACCGTACGCCCTGGGGTAATTTTGTACCCCGGGGTTGTATTATTCACATTTTAGAATACTTCTAGTACGAAGATCTCTTTGAAACTTTCAGTATTTCTAAATTTCCTTTTTGAAAGTGGTGGCACAGAGTTCCCCACATCGCATGGATACGATAGTAAAACACGACGTACGGATTGGTTAAATTAAGTTTTAAAAAAAAAGTCTTGGTGTGGTGTAACTGTGAGGCTCTTCGCCTAAGCCCGAGGAAGACCATAGTTCGATTCCACCGTGAGGGGTTTGTGACTTATCAAGCGTCTCTGTCTGTCTGCTGAGACGTTGTGTCCCACTTAGCTCGGGCTGGCACTAACAGGCAGGATGGAAGCAACCTGCCTCTAAATAGGTCGCTTTTAAACACAAGGGGGCTGTCCCGAAAAATGCTGTTTTGAGAAAATCGAAGTTAAAGTTTTTAACCCTTGTTCAGTTTCTTTAAAAGACAAGAGAAGCTTTCTTTATAACCAAGCAAATTTAAACACCAATGAAACCAAACGTTTCCTATAGGTAGGACAATGCCCACTTTTGGAGTAGGTCAAGATTTCTGGAAACCCTCGAAATCTGGATTAGCACGCTGGTCCTTAAAAGCGAACAATGAACCTAAATGATTGACAAATTGTGGCGATGGGGCTGTAAGACATTCACAATAAACCAAGTAGTCTTGAGGAGAAAAAAATACTTTTGAAAACACACAGGGTATCGTTACTTTAAAAAATCCAGCACATACATATATGAATCAGCAGTAGTAACACTGCCAAACCTGCTCTCTGACCCCCCACACGAGAGCATCGTCCCAATACCAACACCTGATAGGGGTCAAATGAATCTACATTACAGCTGACCTGACATCTTGTAGGTTGTGCTCCCCCCCCCCTTTCCCCCAACTTAAAAAGATTAAACAAACCCAACAGCAAACCAAACAACAATAACCAAATAAAACACCCCCCCCCAAAAAAAAAACCCACCCCAGAAACAAATAAAAAAGCAACGACCAAAAAACAACAACCCAACTTTCATACCAACTTACATGAACAACAAAAAAACAACGAAATAAAAAGCAACAAATCACCCCCCCCCCCATAAAAAAGCAACAAAACAAACAAACAAAACATACTTACGACACCCTCCCCACATGTTGACATAACAACTACAGCCTCAAAGGACCAAGAAATACTTCATATCATATTATAATGACATGTATTACCTAGCCTCCTTCACCCACAGAACAAAGAAACTGCTACGTATATGTGCACATATCGCAAGATCTATCACTCAGTTACAAAAACTGTAGACTCCCCGGGGAACAGGAAAGAGAAGCAAACCTCATGAGATGGATCTACGGATCATAGGAAGAACATAGTCGATAAATTATTAGAACTCTTCAAGGGTGGCATTAACAGAGACTAAATTTAATTGGTCTAGATATATCATCTTTTCAGTTGTGCTACCCCCCGAGAAAAAAATTCTTATCATACATATTAAAGGCTGAACTAGTGCAATTTAGTCAAGAAAAGAGAAGAGAAGATAACAGGGAAAAAAGGACCTCCCAACTAAAGAAAAAACCCCAAACAGATACAAACAAAAGCAGCAAGACAGACAGACAGACAGAGAGAGAGAGAGAGAGACAGACAGACAGACAGACAGACAGACAGACAGACAGACAGATCAACCAACAACAGTAACCAAACAACAACAACAATTTAAAAAAAACAACCCAACCCAAAAACCAAACAACCCAATCTCAAACAAAGCAACAAAACAACCCATTACACCCCTCTCCCTCTCCAACAAAAAAAAAACTCTTAGGGTTTCCTGGTCGTTTTTTTATGCAAGAAAAAATCTGAAATTATGGGAACTGAGCCCCAAAATGTGAAATTAAGCGATTCTGTTAATTTTCTAACAAAGAATGATAAAGGAAAATAATAAAAAATTATGCAAAAAAATGATCAAATTTTGCTAAATTATGCTGGGTGCATAAAACCACGGGGACAGCTTAGGGTTTCATCTACATGTACTAAGTGTGAACCCTATTATTAGAGCTGGGCAATGAGTCGCTTTAACAAAATCCGGATAATATGTTACTGCACCTCTTCGGCAAATAACACGATTTGAACCGCTTCGGCAAATAGGTTAGAATAATTTCGACAAACGGGTTAGCATCACTTCAACAAATGGGTGCACCGACTTCGGTCAACGGGTCAGGAAAGGGTGTTAAGAGTCTGAATTCCGACAATGTTTCATAGATAATTATCCGGTTATTTGGATATATTATCCGGATTTTGCCCACCTCTACCAATTATTCCACAACTGATTGACACGAACAATGTGACGTGTAAAAAGTATGTAATATTGGGAAAACCCACACCCCACTGGGAAAACCCGTCGCACTCCAGAAATCGCTACCTCAGAATTACAAAGTTCTATCTGCTCAGTACCTTTTTATTACTGTGCTTTAATTTTGAGTTTCACAACACGTCAAGCTTTTTCAAACGCATTTCTTTTTTAATATCTTGATAACGACTCTGATAATTTTGATACAATAGAGATAGATCTTATGGTTTCTAACCTCATGGTCTTAGTAACTCAAAACTGCCACAAATGTCTGATAGAACGTTGTAATTCTGAGGTAGCGAAATACAAGTGAACATAATTTAGTCAGTGTATGGGGGTATATATGTATATATATATATATATATATATATATATATATATATATATATATATATACACACACACACACACACACACACACACACACACACACACATAATTATTACAGCGAAATGAGCTGGAGCTCCACTCATAACCAGGAAGCCAAAGTAAAATAATTATGCTACGTGTCACTCCATGCAACTGATCGCTTATGTGCCGTCTGCAGTTCTGTGTAACTGGTTGTGAAAAATCCTTTTTTTCCTGAGATTGATCAAACATTGATATCTGCTCTGGAAAAATCACTGGTACGAGTCACAGTCTTTCTTTGGCACGACTTTCAGCCTTACATGCCAACAGGAATCCAATGCCAGATTATGAAAAGAATATAATTATGCGGAAGATTGAGAGCACCTGGTGAACTACGCAGTGATCTGAATGTTTATGTGATCAGATTAGATCTTCCATACACAGATCACTGGCCGGCGCCCCCATTTGAACACACACGACACACACAAAAACGAGTCTCTTCTATTTCCCTTTGTTGGCTAGTTCATGGGCCATCTGGTAGTACTTGGAAAACTTGGCCGTGTGATCTAAGGGCAGGTAAACGTAAGGACTCATGTTGAAAGCTTCTTTGATGCCGAACTTCTTAACGCTGGACAAATGACAGCGGCTCAGGTGGTACCGGTAGGAGCCTTTGGAAGCGAACCTCCTATTGCAGGCTGCACATTTATACTCGGTAATCTCCCCTTCGCTGGTGGCGCCCCCTTCTGTCCCGGCCGCCTCCGCCCCGTCATCGTTGTCATCACTGCTGCAGCCCCCTGTGCTGGAGGCGCCGCGCGTGGACAAGTTGAGGGGGCCTGGGACCGGAAGTTCGCCTGACGCCGTTACCTGGCTTGACGACGTGGACGAAGCTGCGTGGGAGGAAGAGATGGAGCCGGTCGCCGCGGAGGAGAAAGAATGACACGCAGACATCCCCGTGTGTTTGAGGAGTTGAGGGTCTATGGAAGACGGCACCAGGTCGTTGGTGGTGAGCAGTTTTTGCAGGCTGTCCAGCGGATGCTCACTGGTGAGAGGCTGGCTGTACACGAAGGAACTCAACGAGTCTAAGGCAGACCGCTTCTTGCGGTCCTGCTCTACTTCGTCGTCGCTGTTTACGGAAGTCTCCACGTTGTCCTGAGTGTGTGAGCGAGAGGGAGAGCTGGCAGTCTCGCTGTCACAGCAGCTGGGGGGAATAAGGTCAGTTCTCTTCGTGTTGGGTGATCGAGACTGGAGCTCGGAACATTTAGAAGCCTCGTCCACATCATTAGTATCAGAGTCAGCTTGCCCCATATCAGCAGCCTTGGACACAGGAGGGGAGCTGCTCACAAGGTACTTTTGTCTGTTTTTCTTCAGCTTTACAGGGTTCGTTTTCCCAAGACTTCTGTCTCCATTGATAATCTTTTCTGGCACACCCCCCTCTATCTCCTCAGAAACTGGTTCCACCTTCACCACAACTGTCTCTTCCAATTCTTTTTCCACACTTTCATCTTTACTCTCCCCCTCAGAGCATTTAGACCCTTGACTACTCTCCCGCTCTAACCTCTTGCCACCGCCAGAATTCAGCTTCTCTTTACTTTCTCCACTACCTTTAGGACTTTCAGCAGCATGTCTGCTCCGTCTCCCACCTGGGCCAGTCTGGTCGTCTGGGCTTTTCTCCTCCGAGGGTGAGCCACAATCGCCATGGCTCGAAGCTTTGTCTGAATTAGCGCGAGATTCACAATCTTCGGTGGGCGATTCTCGCTCCTTCGGAGTTTCTTCAGTGTAAGTTTCTCCATTGTGGCTGGCGTGGTCTTCCCCGTCACTGACTGTAGGCTCAGTTTTGACCTCGCGGGGCATGTCCTCATCTTCAGTTGGGGAATATTTTGTTCTTGCAGCCGAACTCTCCTCCTTTCTGCTCTCATCATGGTTTGGCACGTCTGATATGGATTTGCTTTGGATTTCTTTCTTAACACAGCTCTGTGACTCAGTAACATGTTGGGACTTTATAGACGTGGACAATCTGTCGGACTTAACGTTCCCGACGTCATCATGAACAGACTTTGATTCATTCTGAAGAACATTGTTTTCTGTAGCTTTTTTGCCTTTGATCGTGTTTTCATTTGTTTCCCTCTCTGCAATATCCACACCTGGAGCCTCAAATTTCTCATTGTACAATCTGGGAATGTCCCTGTCAGCAACCCCCGGTCTTTGTCTGAGAAACTCCTCCGAGCGAGACTTGAGCTCACTCGTAGATGGTAGAACACTCTCTTCGTGCGCCGCCTCACGACACGCATCAGATCGAACTGCAGACATAGCAGCCTTCTGGTGAGCCATGTACGGGCTAAGTTCCTTCATCTCTGTGGAATTCAGAGTGCTATATTTGTAGCGTTTAGAAACTGGCGCATGGTCAGAAAACCGTTTGTGCCCCGCGAGTTCTGCCGCACTAGCAGAACCATGTGGAGACGGCCCGTCGGGCGGAAATTTAACTACTGGGACTTTGATAGTGGACGACGACGCTGCAGCTGATAACGAAGCGGGAAATGGCGAAGATAGAGAAGTTTTATTGGACAGTTTCTTGCCTTTGTCCGCACCAGAAGAAGAGGCCATGGCGGCGTCAAACTGCACTCTCCCGTGTTTGGCGGACAGAAAGTGGGCTGTGGCGGGGTCTGGGAGGGGGCTGGCGCCGGGGATCATCCTGAAGAATTTGGAGAATCTGGTGAAATAGGAGAGGGCGGGGTCGGACGGGTCTGTGGGGAGACCACTCTGTCCGGGAAGAGACCCAGGTAAGGGGAAGCAACTTCCAAAGGGACTAAACATGGATGCAAGATTCGAAGATCGAATATCCGAATTGGCACTGAAACTTTTGTGAATAAACGATTCCATAGCTTCCAAAGCCGAGGAGGATGACTCACTTCTATCTGTTCCCGCATTAGGGTCAATGATGTCAAAGGTCACTTCTTTTTTCGAAGGACCTGGAGATTCTGTCTTTATTTGTCCATGCGAATAGGGAGAAGTGGACATTGGGAGCGGGGACTTACTCAGAGGGTCCTTCCGCCCGGCCCCTGCGCCAGGCACATCTCTTTTCCGGCCCGTCTTACTCCCGTGCTGCCCGGGCAGGGGGGTGTCCGGGGAGAAGGTGTGGTGGGGCGGGGAGAGCTGCAGGCCGCGGGAGAACATGTCCAGTTTGTGCAAGGCGGACGACGTAAAGTCCAGAGAATCTTCTGGATTCTCTTTCTTCCCCTGTGGGCTTAACTTACTGCTTCTGGCGACCTTGACCTCAGCACACTGAGGTATGCTGATGCTGTTCGGCTCTGGTAGTTTGCGTTTGAGGGATCCCTCTGGGCTGCAAGACGACCTACCACTACTCCCTGCATCGTCCAAAGCAGGTTCGTCCTCCGGTATTTCTTTCTTTATCTTACTAATCACATCATGGCTGGGACCCTCTTCTCTTGAAGCAACGCTAATGTCTGTTTCTTTCTGAACTTCACTTCCCACAGATTCGTCCTTTCTCTTGCTTTCCTGACGTTCAGCTGGGAGATTGTCGTCTTCCCCGTGGCAATACCATTTCTTCAGAGGCACTTCAATCAGATCACAAACCTTAGCACTCTTCTCCGAGGCTGAGTTGATTTTCCTTGGCTCGGCGGAGCGACTCCGGACAGGAGACTCTGGCCTATCTCTCTGTAGTCTCGCCGAGCTCAGATCTAAATCCAGTGGACTACTCTGGGAGCCCCTTAACACCTTGGCAGGAGGCGACTCGTCTCCCACTAACGCAGCGCTTGACGCCCTTGGTTCTCGTTTCATAACGGCCTCTTCGGCACTGCCAGTGACAGAGGACAAGCTGAACCCTGACCTCAGCAGTTTGCTCTCTGACCTGGACAGAATTGCTTCCTCTGCCGCCAGTTTGCTCTTCAAGGCGTCGATGACCTCAGCCCGCTGCCGGAGACAGGCGCGAACGTGAGGGTTAAAGTCGTGTGCGTCTACGTGTTTGCCGCAGCTGTCACACAACACAGCTTTTCCTGACCGGGGGTCCGGAGACTTGGACTCCGCGCTTTTGACAGGCTGACAGTGGATTCCATTGATAGGAGCCATACTGGGCAGCGCTGGGGACGGCTTGTGCCTGTAGTCCAGTAAAGAGCTCATTGTTGGAGGAGTTGTCATTAGAGCAGCCTCCTCAGGAAGAAATCGCTTACGCCTGCCTTGCCGGGCCAGGGAAGACAAACTTGCAGCAGATGCTGGCTCCGGGAAATGAGCAGCCGCAGTGGGGATTTGTCGCGATGACTGCTTCTTATGGTGACCCGACACGATCATGTGGTTGGCCAGACCTTCCATATCGGAGAAGGCCTCGTGGCACACCTTGCATTTGAATATACACTCTTTATCCAGCTCGCGATCACAGTAGGTGGAGCATTTATGCGACCGTCGTCCGTGGTCAGAGCTGACGATCTTGGTGTAGTGCTGTGTCTGCATCATGTGCACGGTGAGCAGCGGCAGGGACTTGAAGGACTCGCCACACTGCATGCACCGCAGGATGCGCCGCGTCTGCTCAGACTCCTGGTTCAGCCACATGTCCTGTCCGCGCACCAGCTTGGGGTAGTCCATGAGAGACGAAGCTTTGTTTGAGCTAGGCACGTGACCACTCTCCTGGAGGTGAAGGCTGAGGGCGTACAGCGTACTGAATGACCTCTGACACGAGCACCGATGGATCGTATGCTTGCCGCCCAGCTCTAAGGGGCTCGGATGTTCGTCTCCTAGCAACGGTGACGCTTGGCGAGACGAGCCCTCAGCCCTTGACAGTGGAGATGTCGTCGGCGATCGCGAGTCTGCAGTCTCTTTCTCTCGTTTCTCCAGCCAGTCCATGCGGACACCAGCCTTGAACTTGCCACTCACGGCACTCTTCAGTAGCGCCTCTGGCTGCAGGGGTACGGCATGTGGCGGGGGACCCGCCGACTTGTGCAGAACGCTGGGCTGTAGAGGAATGACAGTTGCCCCGGGTTTATGCGACAGTTCCAGCGGGTAATCTCCGCCGAACCTCTGCTGCAGGCTTTGTAAACTGGAGAAACCGTTAGAGGTTGAAGAACTTGTCCTGTCACTGCTCGCTTCTGGCTTGGAGGAGGAGGAGGAAGAAGATGGTCGTGTCTTGCCTGACCTTTCCCTGCTGGAGGACGGGGCGTCCGACTTCTTGGACAAGTCCAACGGCTGCTCCTCGGCAGCAGACGAGTCTAGAGAAGGGAAGTAGGTCATGGCCGCGACAGCGTTCATCGGGTTGTTGCCAGCCGGGGTTCCGCCCCGCTTGGAGAGCAAGGTCAGGGGCAGGGTCATGGGCGACATGAGGAGAGGCATGTGAGAGTCGAGAGATTTGGGCAGAGCGAGGCCGGCCGGGAGTGGATGACCTCCTGGAGAAGTGAGGCGGGACGAGTACTTGTACTTGGTGTTGCCGCTCGACACGTTCCCTGAACTGACGGAAAGCCTCTCCGAGCGGCTGGACCCTCGGGCTGGCTCCTCCGGGACCGGACTAAACCGCTGGCCGGCGCTAACGGACACTCGCGCGGATATATCCGCGGTAGTTTTTTCTTTCCCTCTCCTCTGCCTTCCAATGTCATTTCCTTGGCTCGGAGATGTTTTTACCGGCAAGCTTTCCTCGGAGTTTTCGTGGTCTTTCACAGTCTCCAGCCGTTCGGGGCTGCGGGCATTGGTCTGTTCTTCTGAGCTCGCTGTTGGGGTAGTGGAGTCTTTCCCGCCTTCGCCGCTCTCTTCGTCAGAAGTTGTGTCCCCCTCCTCATCGTCTTCCTGGCTGTCTGAGGCCAGCTGGCTGGCGTCCACTGACTGTTGGCTCGCGGGGGCGCTCGGAGACTTGTCAGTGCCTGCCAGGACGGATACAGAGATAAGTTTAGTTTAGTGTTAGTCAGAGTTTTACGGCACTTGCACACGCAATAAGGTCATATAAGTGCCGAAGATTAGAGGTGTTACAAGTGAGTAACAAACACAAAAAACAAATAAACAACGAAACGAGGGGAGATAAGGACGATAGTTGTTTGATAGGAAAGAAGAAGCAGAACCACACAAGAGCACCCGCCAACCACCAACAGAGATAAGTTTGTTTTAAAATAACGCCTTAGAGAACAATGACAGAAACAGAATGTTAAGATTAAATGAAGAAACAGTCGCCAAAGTTATAAAGGATGGAAGCACTTAAGGGTAGAAGTCTTCAACTCTGACATATCTATCTATCTATCTATCTATCTATCTATCTATCTATCTATCTATCTATCTATCTATCTATCTATCTATCTATCTATCTATCTATATATATACACACACACACACACACACACAATTGAGCGCGGCCACATCTCCGTAAGTTTTACCACAATATCCCCAAATTGCAGAGTGTATTTGAAAAGTATTTTACCCTCATCACCCATATTTTTTGTTATCAAAAAGAGTACCGTTGACAAATGCATCGCATCTCAGCCCCACCCACAGAAGACACATAGAGGTACGCGATGAACAAACCTCCCAATACTGGCTCAGGACTCACAACGTATTGTTGAATAACGTAACCATCAGACAGCAGATGTCGGTCCGCTGTCGTCAAGGCCAGCGAAAAACTTTTAAGAATTTGTGCCAACTCGCTGTAGTGCAATATGTTATGCTCAGTATTACTCTTTTTCTAGAATTATGGGTTTTGTTGTTGTGTACATTTAAACGTCATTTGGAAGACGCCACTTTGTCTCCGTCGATGAACAGAAGGCTCGTTGTAAGATACTCTGTGACATTTTCCCCGTCTTAGAGTTAGGTGTTTGCATTTAAACGAGTTATTATCATCATTATTTGAAAATGTGTTCCATGGCCTTATAATGGGTGAATTGTTCTTTCAATTTATCCTTGTTAGAAGATCCTCACTGTAAAAATTGTCTATATTAGTTTGTGCAGTTAACTGGCCAGGTTTAGTCCTGTCTGTGAAAAAATAAATGTTTAACGGTGTATG